CCCCACCAAAATCTCCAACCTTGCTCTGTTTCATTACTCCACCATCAGCTTAAGCTACTCGGAGAATAAACCAATGGCGAACCCTCAACATAAAATGATCTTGCCCTGCAACAGACACAGGCAAGCGGCCTTCCCATTCAAATATCCCACCAGAACCCCAATTAGAGCAATAAAATTGTCATTTCCGTGGCTAAAAAGAAGAGAAGACAGAAAACTAACATGTATTAAAGGTAGAGTTTCATCTAAGAAGGATGGCTACATGGTTTCAGAGCTTGAAAGAGAGAATGAGAAAGAAGATAATGAAGAAATTATCACAGGTAAAGAAGGCAAGAGCAAGCTAGCAGACACTTGGCTAGAAATTCCTGGTGCGGAGAATTGGGAAGGTATGCTTGACCCTTTGGATCCCCTCCTGAGATCTGAACTAATACGATATGGAGAAATGGCTCAAGCTTGTTATAATGCATTTGATTCTGAAACATTCTCCAAGTACTGTGGCAGTTGCAAATATACGCCTACCAAGTTTTTTGAGTGTCTTGGTCTCATGCAACATGGGTATGAAGTAACCTCTTACCTCTAGGCTTCATGTAACATCAATCTCCCAGACCTTTTCCAGAAATGTAAAAAGAATTTGAAGGATTCTTTCCTCGTTTAGTGGTGGTTTATGAATGTAAAAAGAATTTGAAGGATTCTTTGCTTGTTCAGTGGTAGTTTATGAATGTAAAAAGAATTTGAAGGATTCTTTTCTTGTTTAGTGGTAGTTTATGTATGTTTGTTTGGCTGGGATGTGATTCTGAAGGTGATGGTTGGGCAACACGAGTACGTGGTGCCGGTGGATCGAGAGGCGGCTGTTCCGGCGAAGAAGAAAACGCAGTCGTCTCGGATTTGGATACTTTTGGACTGTACTGGTCAGAGCACCGTTTTGGATGTCGACAAATACGATATCATGCGCCGCTGCCAAATCCACTCGCGTAATCTTCGCATTCTCGATCCTTTGCTCTCGTACCCCTCCACTATTATCGGTCGTGAGAAAGCCATTGTCTTGAACTTGGAGGTCGATTTCAATTTCATATTTAAATTCTTTGATAGTCTTTTAATCTGTGTTTGTTCAATTTTTTTAATTTAATTATGATTTTGTTTGAGTTTCTGTTTATTGCAGCATATCAAAGCAATTATCACCTCTGGAGAGGTAATTTTTTATTGGAATTTTAATCAAGTTGTTCTCGAATATTTGTAATAGTGATAGATAAGTTTTGCGTTACGCTTGAGAAATCAAGGGCTGACATAGGAAATCACGTGGTGGGGGGGTGACCTGCTCCCGTCAGAACGGTAAGCACATGTCAAGCCTGCCAAGAGCTACGGAGCTCTCACGTGTCCATCTCCCTGCTCCAAATTGCGTGAAATCAGTTTGGAAGGTGGGAAACGTGACATAAAGCCGGATTTAATCCTGACATTCACACCAACCCATGGATTTAATGATGATTACTTGCACTTACCTCACTATAAAAAGAGGAAGACCCCTTCATTAAGAGGATTCGGCTATTTTACACTCTGAATTAGCCCTCTCTCTCTCTTATAACTTCGTATTTACTTTTCACCAATCATTTGTAAGTCAGTCCGCTGTTGCGACCTGACCCACTATATTAATACAAATCAGTGGACGTAGGACTTGCTACCTTAGCATCCGAACCACTTTAAAAGGCTCTTATTGCATTTACTCTACATTCTACCCATAATCACGTGTGTCTCTTGACTAATCAACGTTATGCACGTGTCGATTAGTTGGTGTCAAAAATCACGCATCAACATTTTGTAATATTGGTAGGTATTGCTTCGAGATCCATTGGATGAAAACGTGATTCCAGTTGTGGCGGAACTTCAAAGGCGACTTCCACCTGTGAATGCCATTCGTGAAGCATGCTGGAGGGCATAACGAAGTTGAAGCAGGTGAAGAAGATGGTGTGCAATATTAATTCAATTATTTTTAGTTTGATTTGTTCAATAAAAGAGCAAGTAATTTCTATTGATTAAGAAAATGAAAATCTGAATGATTTAGATTACGCTATGTAGAGTCTCCATTTGAATTCCGAGCTTTGGAAGCCACGTACCACAGAATTAGAAACTGCTGCTTGTCCGGCTATGGATGAACTTATATCCAAGGTCAGTACTTTCTTTCTTAATCAATTTCTTTGCCTACCTGCAATAACCTGTGTTTTCCCCTGTATTTCCTTGTTATTGATGCTGAATTTTGACACCAACTATTCGCATGTGTAAAGTGTTAAACGGACTTAGAAATTACACGTGAACTGAGAATGGAAATAAATAAATAAAGGAAGACGATTTTTAAAGTGGTTCGGATGCTCAAAGCAAATCTTACGTCTACTGTCTTTTTATAGAAGAAAGGTTACAATCACGTCGCAAATAGCGATAAAAAAAGAAATACAGAGAGGGAGAGAGAGTGTTTATATTATCAGAGGCTGAATCCGGATGAAGAGAGGGGAGCTCTCTAGTTATAGTAAGAGGTTCCTGGGCAATGATTACAGGTTTGTCAATGGGCAAGTACCATACAATTCCTGCCTTGCTTCCTATTGGCTGGTTGTACGGTAGATATCCTTAAATCGTGCAGGGAACGTGCAAGTGGATGACTCTCAGTCATTCACTAGCCATACTCTTACCTATCAAGTTGATGACAGCTTTACTCCTTCTGTCTTTGGACGATGTGGCAGCGTCTAAACGACACAATGTCTTCCTGAACTCTGATTAATCCTTACGTCAGTCCTGATTTTTTTAGGCATAACACTTGTCAAGAAAGATAAAAGAGATTTCCTCAATTTGCCTAGAATCATGTGTATCAGGATTTCTGTTGTCAGCAAAGGTTTAGGGATCTTCTTTTTTTCTCCTTTTGTTCTCTTGTTTTCACTTGATTTAGTTTTCTGTTATTATTTGGATTATAGACTACATGGTAAAAGTTCTGTCCTACTCTCATGCTTGAGCCATTGCATGTTTAAATTTCTGGATTTTTTTATGATTGTTTCATGCACATTCAATATTGATCCTCCTTTCAATTTCTTTTTTTTTTTTTAGCTCCAAATTCTTTTTCATGCATGAAGCTATTGAAATACTGATCATATCCAGCCTTTGATCCTTCTTTTTCATGCATGAAGCCATTTGCTTCCTTGCCATCTGTCCCGCCTTGTCATGCCTCCTCTTCCCCTTTTTGCCCTTTTCTGTTATACCTTAAAAACTTAATTTTCAAATTTGTAGTGCAGGCATTAGATTTGACCTTGTACATCCTTTTTGCAGCTGGATAATCATCGTAATCAGCTGATTCAGGTGCTTTAATCTTGCCTATTGAATAGATACAGTATTCAGCTGATTCAGTTTGTGCTGAGTTTTGTTAATATTCTTTTCTCGCTTTATACTGCAGTTCGATCTCATTCTAGGTTCAGGAGCTCTCTCTTTATCCATCTACTCATTGGTAGCTGGAATATTTAGCATGAATATCCCAAATACTTGGAAAGATAAACATGGACAATGCAAAGTTTTTTGAGTTTGTGAATTTAGCTGCTGATTTTAAAGTTAAATTCTCTGTCAGATTATTGAATGATTTTTCTTTGATATCTGCAGCTGGTCACCGTCACAGGATCATTTTGTGCAGCGGTATTTGTAGCCCTTATGTCCTATGTTCGTTACAAGGGTTTGGTTTGATCTTGAGTATTCATGGTGGGATTTACATTAATATTATTCCTTTCTCTGAATAATATTAATGTCAGATGGAAGGTTCAGTTGCAAAGTTACATAAAAAATTTACATGAATTTTCAGCCTCCTGTTTAACCAATCTCGGGAACCAATACTGATAGTTATGAAAACAGTTCATAGATGGTTTTTATCTTTTTAACTCACTTTTTCCCGTTCAGTCTTTGATTCTTATACTTCTGATAGGTGTTAATAGTTGAACATGAAGTACATTTACACATCATACTTGTAAAGATTAGAATTTTAATCAAATAATTGTTCTTCAGAAATTTTTTACAAAAGACCAGTTTCAACGTCAGCTGTTATATTTTATATCCGGTGAAGAGCAACAGACATTATATGTTGATCAATGTTCTTGGTTAGCACTGCCGGATTGAAATGTACCCTCTCTCACACCTCTCATCGGCATGAATCAAAATACTGTTTTCCAGTACCAGTTAAGATCCGAGTAAATTGTATTTCTAATTCTACCAGTTCAGATCAATTCAAGGATTTTATTTATATCTAATTATTAGAATCCTCTATCTTCTTTTGTGATTGTAACTTGTAACATAAGAGTGTGTGAAAAGGGTCTATGCTTATTCTTCTCTCTGGATCTGACTTCGTTTTTCATTTTTTTTTTCACTTGGGTTGTCTAGTTTCCAAATTTTTGTTCTTAATTTGCTTGAGAATCTACAACTTGTTTAGTCTTTTTTTTTTTTTTTTTTTTTGACCTATCTCAACTAACCTCCTGAGCGCCAAAGTGAATAATCGGGTAAATTTTTTCAGTGATCATTCTTATTTGTGTTTGGTGGATCGAACTCAAAAACCTATGTTGGATCCTTTTACTCTTTTATCATTAGGTCATCAAATGCTGGTTTTTTTAATCAAAATTCTTAACTTTGCTTAGTTTCTTCTTGATTTCAAGCAAAATTTTAAAAATTAAAAGAAATTTACTGAGGGTAAACTGGTCAAATCCGAATGATAACCATGGGCATATTTGTAATTGTGTTGGTCAAAATAAGTCAAGTCTAATATTTAAAGGAAAATTCTAAGGGTAGGGGGTGTAATTGGTGTTTTCTGTAGTTATGGGTGACACTTGACAGAGGTTCGATTTTGAAAGTTACAGGGGGTGTAATTTTCTTAAACCCATTCCCAAATAATATATTACCATAATTTGAACTATACGCTGCCGTTTTAGTGGGACCGATAAATATTTTAATTCCGCCTTCAATTCTAAATTTATCAGGGTTTTACTTTCACCTGTTTCAAGATTCCAAGTTCGACGGGTCTCCAAATGAATGCGAGATTTTAAAGAAATTTTCTCAACTCTCAAGCATAGGTGAGTTTATTCAATCCCTTTTGCAATTATGATGTTTAATTTTCTCTTCAGAAATTTTCTTCATAGTCATGGAAGATACGCTAACTTAGCTTTATTAAACCCTAATAAATTTCAAGATTTTTTCTGTCCAATTTTTGTAAAATATATCTCAACCAACTCAAATGAACAATCTTTTACCGTCTCATACCTTATTAATTCATGTGGTTTGTCTTTTGAATCTGCTCTAAAGGCATCCAAAAACGTTCAATTTGATACTCCAGAAAAACCAGACTTAGTGGTAAACTTTTTCAAGAGCAGTGGCTTCTCAAAATCCCAAATCTCAGACATCATCAGAAAAGAGCCAATACTGCTTTTGTACAGGCATGAGAAAATCCTTTTGCCAAAATTTGAGTTTTTTCACTCCAAAGGCTTTTCAAGTCATGATCTTGCAAAACTTGTGTGTCGGCACCCTATCATCTTACGAAGGAGCTTAAAAAACACGTTAATCCCTTCCTTTCATTACCTTAGTAACTTGCTTCAATGTAATGAAAAGGCTATTGCTGCTATTAAAATCTCTCCACACATTCTTGTTCGTGATCTTAAAAAAAGGATTGCACCTAAAGTCAGTTATTTGCGAGATAATGGTGTGCCTGAATCGAGTATTGTATTGTTATTTAGTAATTGGACTCACATACTTACAAATGACTGTGGTCGGTTCGAAGAGACTGTGGACTTGGTAAAGAAAATGGGTATAAATCCTAAAAAGTCAAGATTTGTTACTGCTATTATTACAATGTTGGTAAATCCCAAATCTTACTGGGATAAGAAGATTGATGTTTACAAGAGGTGGGGTTGGTCTGAGGAAGAGATTCTTACGACATTTCGAAAGAATCCTTGGTGTATGATGACATCTGTGGATAAGATTATGGGAGTGATGGACCAGCTTGTAAACAAAATGGGTTGGGAGCCTTCTGTCATCATGAAGCAGTCAATTCTTCTTTCACTTAGCTTGGAGAAGAGAATAATTCCTCGTGCTTCAGTTCTTCAATATCTGTCATCCACAGGTTTGCTTAAGAATAATCCTTATAACCCGGTTACATCATTTCGACTTCCTGAAGAAACCTTCTTGCAGAGGTTTGTGAATCGTTATGACGAAGCACCCCAGTTAATGAAGCTATACAGAGAAGCTGGATCTTTCAAAGATGGCAGAGAGAAAGGAAGGCAGCATTTGTAATATGTTGACATCAGAATGATAAGAGTGTTACTTGATCTAGTTAAATTCATTGTATTCATATTGGCTTTACTTTTAGTCAAAAAGAGCATCTACCTCTAGTCCAGATTAGTTTTTGAGTCATTTGCAATTTTTGTTTTCTTCTTGTGACATGTTGTCACTTGACTAAAGCACAGGCTCTGTAATGTGATGTATAATCATGTATCAAACTGTGATCTCTGGCTTTGTTTAGTCTTGTTACAACTCTGCAACTAGTTACCTTTGGTTGATATTAATTTCCTTGATCTCTGTAATGTTTTTGGAAGGCATGCTGATTGATCTTCATTCTATAGTGAAATTGTCTTCTCTCCCATTAGAAAAAACATTTGAAAAGGAAGCTCAATGAGTTAATGACTTCAGTGAAACTTAGAAATTGTTGTGTCTGGTTAGTTCGTCTGTCAACCCAAGTCAACTTGAAGATAGAAGTTGTCACTTGAATACTGCAATCATCTCGACGGCGCAAGGTTTAACTCTCATTTGCAGGAGAATGCCATTGTTCTTTACGATTCTGTAAAACAATCTCATAGATCATGTGCACTATTACATGTTGAATAACGAATAGATTAGTGGCTGATTAGGAGATAAAATTCTAGTGCTAAAAATATATATCATAAAGTTTTTCTTTTTCTTTAAATAAGGTTTTCATCATAACGTGTTAAGATGTCTAGCCATTTGTAATTCTCATTCAAAGAAGATTGAACAACAAGCATATACTTTCCGTAACAGGAAACGACCTATCATCCTCTACTTGTGAAAAACATCGACACATCATTCATTCATTTTACTCGTATCATATAAACGGCGCATTTGAATGTTGTACTATCTTTAAAATTTCAATTCAAATGTTCTATAATTCTCTCAGTAAAATTCTTCTTCATGGTAGGCTTACGATAAGAGCTTCGCCTACTCGCCAAGTGGGTCTGCTTTGTCTTCAAAACTACACTTTTGTTTTTCATAAGCACATCTCGCCAATTTCAAATAAAGAATCATTTACAGTATCTTATCTCGAAACTCATGTGGGTTCTCTCAAGAATCTGTTTTAGCACTTTCTAAATGTGTTCAATTTGAATCCTCAGAAAGATCAGACTCAGTTATTGCCTTGCTACCATGGTTTCTCAGAAACACAAATTTCAAATATGATAAAAAATTTACAGTTTGTTCTAGCCATTGTAGCGAAAAGAATAATGAGCAAGTGTTCTTAAAATCTTTGAAGAGACTTGAAGCACGTACGAATCCGCTTTTCAAAAAGCGATATTTGCCCCCTCTGAATTGTTGGTGGGTTTCTAATGCAAATAGCTTTCGGGATATGACAAGCCTTGAATCTGCACCAAGCAATAATGGAAATTCACAGAATGAATAACATAATAATGTTATTTGGGTTTTCTGGCAAGTTGAGACAGAGAAGAAAACGAAGGAAGATATGACTGTTTTGGATTTTATATATTTAAAAAAAAAAATTCCTTCTTATCCTTATATAGAGTTTTGAAACATTGCATTGTTTCATGAAACTATTGTCTTTTGGTTGCATTGTTTCATGAAACAACTTATCTCTTTTCTTTTAACTTTATACATAAATAACCAAATTCCAACAGCAAGTCGCTGTGGGATAGGAAACAAGACATGGGGTTGGTCTGACAAAGAGCTTTTAGCAACATTTACAAAGTATCCATGGTGTATAATGGCATTTGCGGATAAAATTACGGCGGCAATGGACTTTTTTGTGAACAAGATGGGTTGGGATTCTTCCATTATCTCGGAACGCCCAATGCTTATTACAATGAGCTTGGAGAAGAGGCTTATACCTAGGGCTGCAGTTATATATTGAAGTTATACCAAGAGAAGTTGAATCCTTCAGAAAAGGCAAAATGATCATAGTGTAGAAACATGGATGCATTATTTGTAGAATCCTTACATTGTAAAATCAAAATTGCAATTTTCTATGTATCTGAACTTTATAACTTACTTGCATTCAAAATATCTGATGATTTTGTATCACTGCAATCTCCGGTCTTGCTCACTCTTGGTTACACGTATCTAGTTTGCTTTGTTTTTATATAATAAAAATATTACACAGGATTTTCCTTAAATCTTCAAAACTGTCTTCAGAAATCACACATTTCAAGGTTCAATGGAAATATCTTCCTCTCTCGTTAAGAGGGCATATCAAGATGAAGTGCAATAATGTATTTTTATTATCGATAAAGATTGGCTCACAACTCAACTTACAAATTTTCTCTCACAATACAAACGTGACAGTTCATAATTTGTCAGCTCATAAATAGACAGGTGTCGCTTACATGTTGTAATCATCTAAATGAAACAGTTTTATGTTTTTACATGTTTCTTGAATACATTTATGATACTAATTTTAACATTCTCTTGATGTATTATTAACAGTGCGAATCATTTGTCAAGATTTTATGGTAATGAAAATGATGTTAGACTTTTAATTATATTATGGTCCTACATTTTTAATATTAAGTGAATAGGTAATTGCTGATGTGGATTATAATAAAAGTTACATACGGTTGTGTCTCTTGGACAGTTGTCTTTGATGAAAAGACAACTGCATTTATAAAGAAGATTTTACACGTCTCCATTTAATGCAATTAATTCATTTTTTCCAAAACCATCACTCTAAAAAATTACAGTCAATAGAAGATTCTGTATTCTGAAGTGGTTGTAGTCATTAGGGTCTGGGGATGGTACAAAGGATGCACCAAAGCAATATAGGACTTTCTATGGGGATTCAAGGGACTGAAGTGGCCAAGAAAAGCTTAGATATTGTCATCATGGTTGATAATTTTTGTACAATAACCACAGTTTTGAGATGGGAAAGATGTGCCTATACCAATATCCAGAAATTCATTTAGTTCCAGGTTGCGGTAAATTTTGCTGCTCTTGTGATAAACTTTGTCCGAACAATTTCTCAAGGTGAAGGACCTATAACAACAGTCCAAATGTTGTAAATGAATTTGATCATGGACACATTAGATGCCCTGACTCTGGCTA